TGTAAACACAACACAAATAAAACCCGAGAAACTTTTAATTGCGCCGATATGAATTTCCAGTTCGCCCAAACTTCGAAACGTTTATACATGTAACTTCGATATAGTTTTCTACATGCAACGAGAGCTTAATCTTTTAGAATTTTTCGTCGAAGCCATGGCATATCGGAAGACTTTAATAGCAACATTTGGACATATCCTGATCTGCTCGTTCTCGAGTTTCCCGATTGCTTGTTTGTCATTGTTAACAAAATTTAAAATTTCGCCTGTTTCATAGCTTTTGCATTTTATATACGCCGGTTGTTTGCAGAACATGCGAGAAGATAATCACAATTTTATTCTATGTAAACATTGTGAAGTTCAAGGCTATAGTTTCCAAAATATTTCCACGCAAGTAAACAAATTTTAACCCAAACAATATATTCCCATGTGCAAGGGCTTTCCCCAGTAGCTAAACCCTCAATAAGGTGGCTTCCAATTGGCTCTAACTGTTTTGAACACTGCCAGATGATTGGCTCCTAAAACAAAGGGAATGGAATATGCAGCTCGTTTCAGCAGATGTTAGTTAGTGAGGGTTAGAGCTATAAGAACGTCTGCGAGGGAGACTAGGAAGCCTGCTGCCAGGAAGAAAAATATTTTATCAAGGCTTGTTTAAAGCTTAAAAAAACATCGGAAAACTTCAACTGATTTTGATTTATATCAATACTACTAGTGATGCACCAATATGGAAATTCACCAATATTCCGATAACCAATATTGAAAGACCGATATTTTGCCGATACCAACATTCTATGCCATTTCACAAAATTGAAAGATGACGTCATGGCAGTTCTACTTTAATACCGGTACTTTTGAATTTATTTCGATTCCTTTGTTTTGAAATACCGAAAATATCAAATGAATGCTGCAATGCATGCGATAAACTAGACTAGTATTAATATTACTATGCCAGTGACTGTTTATTTGTAATAAAAATAACAATTGAACTGCAACTATATAACCAATCATTAATATTTAATTATTATAACAGTTTGTAATGTCGGTAATATGAACAACAAAATTACCGATACCCATATTTCTATTTTAGTACCGTAAACCAATTTACCAATACACCGATATGGATCACTAAATACTACTGCTTTTAAAGTTTTGTATTACGCTGGAAAGCTGCTAAACTTAGCACCCCTGGAAAACGTCTAAGTAACTCAAAACAATCTTTTATAAATTTTGAAATTGCTGGCTAAATGTAATTCTGTGAAAATGGCAAACAATGCCAAATTTTTTACTGTTCAGCTGACACCTTGAGTTCATGTGTAAATGGTAATAACCAAAGTTGAAATAATTGGCTAATTACAGATTTGCCATCATTGAGCACGCAGATAAATTTAATTGGTACTTTTTAGCAATCAGCTCATCCCATGTTGTTTTTTAGTTTTTAGGTGATCATGACAGAGGACGACAACCCTCTCTTGACGAAGCAGTCGACCATTTGCAAGAAACATACAAGTACTAGTACTAACAGAAAACTATGATATATAAAAGTTGCACACACGTTGCAAAATATTATGGGTTGGGGGCGAATTATTAGGTTGCTCAAATGACTTGGTCTTGCTAAATGGAAAATTTTGAAAATTCGAACATGCAAATGCCATTTCCTGTGATTTAGGCATTGAGTTGTTCACACCAGTTTTACCTCGAGGCAAAACTAGCCTGGCAAATTGACCATATTTTAGCCAAAAATCAACAATTTGATGAACCATGATCACACAAGGTTTAGAAGGAAGGAAGTTTTAGACGTCTCTGTTGCTCTGTTTACAACGGCAAAATACATAGAGGATATTACACGGCGGCGCGAAGATATGACTTTTATCTTCGAGTGGTGAAAACAATACTTCAGTCACCATGTAATGTTCTGTTTATTATATAGTCCCAAGCAAAGAATTGTATAAAATACTAAAAGTCATGTGATCGATATCTTCACTAGTGAAGATTGAAGATATGGAAAATGTGTCACTGTGTATTTTTCAGTATCTCACTCTCTACTATATAATAAAGATTATCATGTTATGTTTCAAGCTGGGACAAGTGCTATTTAAATTAGGTTGTCGAACGTTTCTCAATCATAAACCCTGTGTTAATCTTGATCCTTAAACTGTATCATTTTCATACGATGGAGAATAGATGACAGGTTTTCTTCTGCATTCATTTGGTTCAACAAGTTTGTTTGCCATCGCCTTCCCATCCTATACGTGCTTAATTAAGATCGCTAATATCTTGCTTCACAGTGCTTCTAAATCCATAAAAAATATTAACATATTATGCAAATACTTTATATTTTTAAAATCCACCATATTTATTTACATTAGTGCCCAGGCTTTTGCGGTTCACACAAACTATTACGCCACGCCTCTGATGTCACACCCATTATTTCCACTGATAATAGGAGGGTAGGATCAAAGTGGGCATTGTCATTTGCTAACCCAATCAGCTGTCTGGGTTCTGTCGCATGTGACCTGTTCAAATTGATGCTTTATGATTAAGTGATACCATAGCAGCCTCGATAATATATGTGCCATCTAAGGAAGTTGGGGACATATATATGAAAATAACGTTTCCTCCTTATATACATTATCTTGTATCTACTGTAATTCCTTAATATTACCCATTTCTGCTTGAGACCAAACCTGTGTCGCATTCTCTGAAAATTGTTTAATTAATGTACCAAACTTCTATAAAGAGTCCTCAATAGTCCAACAAGTTATTTTGTTATCCTCAATTTAATACAATTTGTAATGGGGTAAACTTCTAATTTACTCCAGAGAGTATGAAAGAAAGAAGAGAGGGGCATTCAGGATCTCTGTGCAAAAAGGTAAAACTACTTGGGTTCAGAGGGGGGGGGTAACTTATGTACAAAGTTTTCACAATTCTAGGGGTGCCGGGGCATGTTCCACCGGGAAAAAGTTAAATTTTGAGTCTTTGAAATGCCCCTGCTCACAGTTTAAAATTTCCAGTATCCCTTTGCGATGTCTACATGTACAATACTAAAACTGGTATTTGATACCAAACTGTGAATATTCGTCTTGTATCACAAATTGATACTACAGAATTTTGAAGATTTGAATAACATTGAAATTCTTCGGTGATTCCGGAACAGCTTTGAATATGTAGTACTAAATCTGCCAAAATAAAAATAACCAGTATAGCGTATGGACGTTTGTGGAAAGTTTATGTACATACTTTTTGTGTATGTTGGTGTTATGTACTGTATGTTATGTACATTATGATGTTTGTGGTGTTAATCTGAGTGTACATCCACACCGGGCAAGCTGAAACGTTTGCCTGACCTTTGGAATCGAACCCGCGATTCTTACCAAGAGCAGCAGTAAAACATTTGTGAACTTAAGCCCGTTTTCCACTTCACCATTTCGCTCGCCTCCCCACGCTCGATTACATTAAAACAACATTTCCAGTTCACTTTTATAATACATGACTCCGATTCTCCATTTACAGTAACGTACTAAGGTACATTTTGAATTACGTTGGACAAAGCTACAGTTCGGTTGGACACCACGACAATACACTCGGGTCGGACAAACAATAAACCTCAGTTTCACTCAGGTCAAACAAAATGTCCGGTGGTTTCCTCTCTATGTTGGACAATTTCACGAATGGGTCGGACGCGACGGACAATTTCTGTGAGCGACCGATATTTTAAGGCCTGAATAATAGGATATGACTTGCCATATTTGTACCTAAGGTTCAGTGCAGGAAAAGTTCGCTGTTTAAACCGGACCTAAAAGATACTTATTTGAATGGGTCAGGGAAATATTACTTATCGTCTCCACTCTCCAGTATTCAGCTGTGGGATCCCAAATTCTTTTGGGGTACTAAGATCCTTGTTTCGCGGTTGGATTCTAAAAAAATCATCGTAATGTTGGAAAATCCAGATGCTCTTCTCGGAGGGAGTAGAATTTGAAATTCTTCTTATTTAATTATATTTTCTCTCAGTTTATCAAGCAATAAAGAATGAAAGTGCCGAGGATAGAAAACTTCAAGAACTAGAAGACAAATTTCTGGGAAAGAGAAAGCAAGATGACAGTTTAATGTAAGAATTTTTAATGGACTAAATTATATACCTGTGGCTAAATTTTTGGTTTTTGTCAAGCGGTAGAAAGTAGTGCATTTGGCAACCAACAACGGCGACGCTAGAAAACAAATTTATACTTTTGTATTCGAGCCAAAACCTATACATTACTAAACATTTAAAAGCATTTATTTCTCATCGTTACGATTTGAAAAAGGTATCATAGAAAAGCTAAATAACAGCTCTTTCGTCCTATGTAAAAATTGAATTGTTTAGCTTAGTTTATGATGCACCACAGACACCCTGTATATGTCCAGCAAGTTCTCATGACGTTGAATTCCATCTTTCTTTCAGAACAATCGAGTTGAGTGATCCTGAAGGTGGACTCAGTCTTTCTTCTGACTCCGAGTTTTCTGAGGATGAAATGAGAAAAAATGTACCGGTGAGTTATTTGAAACTTTTTAAAAGCACCGCTCAGCGGAATTTGTTACTTGAAAAGTTGAAGATATTAACCCAACACACATGTTTCACAATTAAGGTCTTATATAATAGTGTATGACACTACGGCTAACAGTCCGTTAAAAATTTACTACGTTTCTAGTATTAAGACTATATTGTGTTTACACTATAACCGAGCGGTTGGCTGTAGCGTACTAACTACGGAATTATATTGTGTTTACACTATAACGGAGTGGTTTGCCGTAGCGACTAACTACGGAAATCAATTCCGTTAAAAATTCACTACGTTTCTTAGTATTGTGTTTATACTATAACGGAGTGGTTTGCCGTAGCGTATTAAGTACGGACCACTACGTTTGGCACTCCGGATGCAAATCACTACGCTACGGTAAATTTGCTGTAGCGTCATAGTGTAAACACGGCCTCGCAGTCTAACCTGTATACGTCCACACAAACTGAAAATACTGTTGACACTTTCAGTGATTACGGAAGTTCGAGATAAACAAAACTTAAGGCTGCATTCCAGTTACGCGTTTTTCAAAAAGTTGAATTCGCTTAAAATTTCATATAAGTGCAAATAACCTGAACAAATACACATTAAATCATACACAAAACTGAATGCTGTCGTTTTATCAATTTAGTTATTTCATAGGTAGGATGTAAAGGGGCTTCAACGATCATAAGGGGCTTCGGTGGCCAAGTGGTTAGCGCACTTGCCTTTCACCTCTGAGGCTGCAGGTTCGAATCTCACTAAGTACCTTCTCAGTGCGACTCGAACCCAGTCCCCATGTGAAAAGAGTAAAAGTCAACGCTCTGCCGAAAGCCGTGGGTTTTCCCCGGGTACTCCGGTTTCCTCCCACAGGGAAAGTTGACAGGGTGGGTTAGGTAAAAAGGGCCCACAGTAATTGGCATATGCTGTTGTGGTGACCCTGCCCTAGTTGGCAAAGCTAAATAAAGCGAATTCAACTTTTACGTTTAATAGAGGTGACTGTTAATAAAGGTCACTTAAATAGTATTTATAATAATATATTATGAAATTTTCAGGACTTTGCCACATGACCGCTTGACAACGGGTGCAGACTGCTTGATACGAATTACAGGTAAACTACTAGCCCGCGTGCAGGCCCAAGGGAGCAGGCCCAAGGGAACTTGATAGTGGGCCTGCAAGCAAGGCCCGGTATTTTGTACTTTCCGCGTTCGCCCACGAACGCGGCATTCTGATTGGCTGTTTGCTGTTGGATTCTATAATTAGGTCAGTGATTCATCACAAAGGCTCTCGATAAGCTCAAAATTCGAAAATTGATCACTTTTTTCGATTATAAATGGAACAAGAACAGACTGTTTATTGTTTACTAGAAGGAAGAGATGTTTTTGCCGTTATGCCAATGGGGATTGCTTGTCGTGAGTTGTTGGAATAGCAACATTACGACTGGGGTACCTTTACTTGAGTTTCATTAATTTCAAACAGATTTGTTACGTTATATGTTCCTCAAGAAAATTATCTTTTGGTTGATGTTGAGATGCAGTTGCATGTAAGCCTATTAGAAACACTTTGCGATTTACAAGGCTTCGCTGAGAGAACGAAACAGAAGACGGTATATTTAAATTGCCGTTTGAAACGAAACGATCTGGACTCTGAACGCTCTCTTCTTTTGTAGAGTTCTTTACCAAATGAAATAACTCAAATAAATTTCGTACTTTCCGCCGCCAACAAGAATTGCACACACGATCTGATAAGTGAGACAATTTTTTTATAACAATGCCAACGGCGACAGCGAAACAACATTATAAATGCTAATGTGGTCGCACGACTTCCCTCACGATCTGAAGTTTGAGACTGGTTTTCTGTTGAAATTCGTCCTAATTTGCCTGTTCCGATTTTAGTTGAAAATGAGCACTTGCAAATTTGGCAATTACTGACTGCGTTCAGTGCGTTGCTTGCTTTTTTGGAGTTAAAACGCAGCCATTTACACATTGTTTATGTTCTGAATATGCAGAGAAAACCTCGCAACATTTTAATGCGAGTTTGTTTGTTAATATTTGGGTGCTGTCATTGGTTCTTTTTTGACACTTGACGCGCGAATGGGGCGTGTTATGAAAAGGGGCGTTTTACAAAATACCGGGCCTTGCTTGCAGGCCCACTATCAAGTTTCCTTGAGCCTGCTCCCTTGGGCCTGCACGCGGGCTAGTAAACTACGTGAAGCGTTCCTCTTTTGACTTCATAACTCATTTGGAATTTCCCTCATTAGCTTTGCAAATTTGAAAAACTCTTTGCAAATCCCTTGAGGAATTTGCAATATTCCTATCGGATGTTGCAATATTCCAATGCAACAAACTTCATTTTACATTTTCCTAACTTCCTGTTTTAATTTCCTAACTTCCTGTTCTGTTCTGAGCGTTGTTATTGGCAGTGGCGTAGCCAGCCCGACAATTTAGTCCCGCTATGCAAATTCAAAATTATTATCATCATTCATTTCTTTAGAAATTGATTGTTTTACAGGCAATGAACACGAAAATATTTGCATAGCGGGACTAAATCGTCGGGCTGGCTACGCTGCTGGTTATTGGTCGATTATTTTTGTTAGTCAATTGCAACGCCCAGAACAGAACAGGAAGTTAGGAACTTGTAACAGGAAGTTAAGAACTTCTAACAGGAACTGTGGAAAGTTTAATTGGCTTTTAGCAACATTGCAAATTTCCTCAAGGGATTTGCTAGGGAGTTTTTTAAATTGGAAAAGTAATCAGGAAAATTGCAATCAATTTAGAAACTCAAAAGAGGAACGCTTCACGTAGTTTACCTGTAATACGGTGTCGCTTAATATAAGTTCGACTGTATTTAAGTTGGATGCACTTATAATTGCATTTCTGCACGGGGTCATAACCTTAATATTCTTTCTATTGGTTTCCTCTAAATTTGTTCTTTTATTTATATTATTACAATTATCTTTTCACACTCGACTTTTTCTCTTCCTTCGACTTCAGACTGGAAATTTAGTGAATCGATCCATGCACGAAATGTACAAGACGTCGAACTCGAGAAAAAATTCAGAAGACGAAACAGAAAGACCCACAAATGACGCCTCGAACTCATCGCAAATATTTACGGAAGTAATCATGCGAGTAAATTACGAAAACGCAACACCGTCGCCAGATAATCGGAGTAATTTGAACGAAAATGAAACGAGTATCTCGGCCAAAAACAATGATGTTACCAATGATGTCCGCACACCTAATGTAAACTCAATTTCAGAAACACCTGGTTTAAACAGTGAGCCTCTGGGAGATAGAATGCAGCGCAAAAAGTTGAAGAGAAAAGATGGGAGTTCTTCTCGTTCGAAAGAAACTCAAAAGAAAGCAAGTGTAAAGGACATTTTAACAGACGATTCAGGTACTAATTAATCATTCGAGACGTTCACTGACCGAAATGATTTATATTGACAAGCTTTTGAGCATAAGAATTGGGCCGTCACGTAAGGCTAAAAATATGCCTAGAAAGTGACTTTCGTTGCACACATCGGGAGGCTAATGATTTCTTTCATAAAGTAGTAGAGGAGCATGCCAAATTAAATAATAAAAAAAGCCCCCGGTCATAAGTGTGCACAACAACGAGAAATTGACTATATTCTGGTGATGACGTCATCTATAGTTCCGAAAGGTAAAAATGTTCGAATTTCGAAAAATGTTTAATGCCATCAGATTGAGGTGCATAATTGGACAAAAAAAACTATATTACACTGAAAACTTTGTCATTCGTTACCGAGATATCACATTCCAAAGTTTTTTAAAAATGCTGAGTCAGCATTTTTGTTTCTCCAGTGAAGCTTATATTGACAGACTGTATGCAGGGAAAGGGCTTATTTTGCACTAGTACTTTAAATTGTGCACCACAGTGTGTGAATTAAAGTGGTTATGCAAGTCAGAAAGCTAAAATGCGACTAAAAAATTCAAATTGTTTACCTGTCATCTAAAGCCTTTGAAAGAAACCTAGAAGATGAAATCTGTTGCACATGTCGCCAGACTAACTAATTTCACCATGATCAGACAGTTCTTTTGGAGTAGTTCTGATATTACATGGCCAAATTTTACCAATGCATGCTGCACACAAGCAAGCCATGACTTATTATTACTCAACAGGCACATTATGCAACAGGCAATATCACTGAACATCGAAAATCTGCTATTAATTCCACTCTGTAGAATAACTTCTTTACAAGAAATTCATTTAGTAAAGTTATTCATTCAGCTACAGGCAGCCAAGGGTCCATAAGCCACTTCACAGTGGCTAGCTTTTTCTTAAGCAATATAGAAGCATGATACAGAATTTGTAGTTCGATCATTCAATATGGACTGTGTAGCACTGTGATTATCATCATATCCCATGTTGTACAAAACCATTGAAGTTGTTTCACATGATGTCTTATCCTGTCCATACAAATAGTTAGTATAATTCTTGTATCACTTACTATGGTACTTGACCTCAATGGCAACACAATCTTTTCCACAATTTTTAATAAGATCCTGTAGTTGTCCTTTTTCTTTGTGCCAGCTTCGCACAATAGACCTGCATCTCATCTCACACGCAACAAGGGTTATTCTTCACAGGTAATAATTTTGGAATAAATATTATTCAGGTGATTATTTTGCTATGTGATCGCTGTACCATTTACTAGCAAATGTATAATGATTTCATTTAATGATAAGTATACCATATAATTACAATGTAAGACATACCATGACATTTGAACAAATCGGATTGTTCTTGCATATTATGCATACTGGGGGCAAAACATTTGGTGATCTAGCCTTCATGTCACTATTTTGGGGACCATCATTGTCAAGTGATGAGTGTAAAAGCTTCTTTGGTGGAACAGTCTGCAACTTCACAGCCAATTAAGATTTCACTGCCTCATGTTCTCTTTTCCTCCACTTTTTGCAACTTGTTTTAATCACAAAGTCTTTTATAGCAGTTCTCGTGGTAATGCCAGTTGAGTTCCCAGTGCCTCCTGAGGCCCCCATTTAATTTTTAAGTGGGGCTTTATTTTTTCAAAATTAAGTTGGGGGTGGGAAGAAAAAAATTTTCAAACCATATTCCTTAAAAATAACAATTTTTTCCCTGTCTATGTCTACTATAAAGGGGGTGCAAATTTCACAATTTCACCAATTCCTGCTTTTGGGGGCCACCTGTTGCAAATTTTTTGACTTTATACAACTGAGGCTCAGGCCAATGTTTATGGTCATTTTTTGTCGGGGGGGGGGGGG